TTTTTTTTGGTACCTGGGATCAAACTCAGGTCCTTGCGCTTGCGAGGTAGGCCACCGAACCACTGAGCTAAATCCCTGGCCCTGGGTCCATTTTTATTTAGTATGGTATGTGAAAACTCTTCTATAATGGGAAAGTGGCTAATGGGGTGGAATTGTAGAATTATGACACTAACAATAAATTCTTGGTGTCATCTCACATATGTGGAAGATTAGTTCTGTCACAGATTTTTGCATCCAATTACAGTTAAGAACTCAAAACACTGGAAAGTTAGTCTTCCGTAGTCACACTTGGCTGAGTTGACCTTGTATTGATTCTTTCTATCTTTTTTGGAATAATGTTTCTCCCTCTCTCTCTCTCTCTCTCTCTCTCTCTCTCTAAAACAGCTCTAGGTGGTTCATACTGCTGGAACCCCAACCACTAGGGAAATGAAGCGCAAAAAGTAGACAACCAAGATTTACATTCCCAAGCCTGAAAATATGATGGGAACATGCAAAAAACATAAGAAGCCAACTTAAAGAAGGAGGTCCCTTTGGGCTAAATCTGGGAGAAGTGGAAAAACAAAAATTAATAATAGTAATAGATTATGAAACATAAATAAAATTAGAATCAATGGGTCCATACTGATGTAAATATCATTGCATTAGTAAGTAAATGCGGGATTAGGAAAAGCTATTAATGTAGAATTCTGAATAATGTGTGCAGACAGAATGATGGAAATACAAAAAAATCGACAAATTACCATAGTAATAATTGTTTTGCATCAAGAGTGGTCAACATCAGTGCTAAAATTAGTGCTAAAATTAGCTCATGAAGTATTTACATGGCCTCAAAGTGTCTCCCCATAAGACAGTGATAGAAAAGGGGAAAATAGGGCCAGGGATTTAGCTCAGTGGTTCCACCACCTGCTTGAAAGCACAAGTGTCATGAGTTCGATCCCCGGTACCAATAATAATAATAATAAAGAAAAGGAAAAAATAGTAAATTTACAATGGGAAAACCTGAGAAACACCACTTTAACCAAGTTAGCCTCAATGTTGAAGGGACAAATTGGTACTAGGCATCTTCTGGCAAGCCCCACGAAGAGCACACGGCATCATTTTTGTAGTATTCTTGCCCCCAAAACGTATAACCTGAATTTAATCATGACTAAAAACATCAAAGCTAAACTGAGACCTATGCTACAAGACAACAGACTGAACACTCCAAAAAGGCAAGGTCTAGGAAGACAAAGACTGCACAATCAGCCACTCAAACACCTGGAAGGGCTTGTTTAAACAGATTGCTCAAACATTCACTTCCTCCCAGTTTCTGATTAGTCTGAGATGGATCCCAAATCTTTGCACATTAAACAAGTTCCTAGATAATTTACATGCTGGGTGGAGGGAACATTTAAAAAACCACTAGTCTGAAATGGGGAAGCTATGGCCCATTGGCTACATTTGATTTGAAGCTTGTTTTCCAACATACAGGAGCCCTCCTTTTACACAGCAGTATGATCCAAGATCCCAGTGGACGCAGTAGTACCGAACCATCTACACGGCGTTTTCCCTACACACACCTGTGATAAAGTTGAATTTGTAAATTATACACACAGCGTGACAACAGTAACTATTAATAGAATAATTCTAATACAGTACAATAAGAGTTATGCGAATGACCTTCCTCTCCCATCTGTGTCTATCCCTCTGTCAAAATACCTTATTGCGCTGTACTCACCTTTTTCTGTGAAGATGTGAGGTAACGCTTAACCCTGTTATGGCTTCTCTTTGGCCTGCCCAAATGGACTGCATGAGGACAAGGAGAGTTGAACCCGAGCACTGCAATGCTGAGGTGATCTGGTAACTGGTTAGTAGGTGACTAACGGCAGACCGGGCAGAGAGGATGCTCCGGACAGAGGGATGGTTCACATCCCAGTGGGCTGGAGCTGGACAGTCTGAGATTTCAACACGCCCATGGCACGCCATTTTAAACTCATGCATTATTTGTTTCTGGAATTTTCCATTTACTATTTTCGCACCCCAGTTGACCCTGGGTAACAGAAGCCACAAAAAGCAAAGCAGTAGACAAGGGGGCACACAGCAGAGCACGATGGAGTGCTGCCGCACCCTGCTGTTTGTAGCCTCCATGGCTACTTCTGGCCCAGTGGAATAGTTCTCAGACCATATGGCCCACAGAATACAGATGTTTACTATCGTGCCCTTTCCAGAATAAACTCTGTCAAACTCTGATCTAAGATTTAAATTGTGTAATATGATAAATAAGAATATATGTGATTCGGTCTTGAATGAATAAGTAAATGGATAATAGTGGGAAACTAGAAACATTTAAATATCTGTAGGTTAATAAACATTATCAATATTAATTTTCTGGTTTTGATCATTATACTGCAGTCACCTGTAAAATACAAATGTTTCAAGAATCTAGGTGGATGATACATGGGACTACATAATATTTTTGCAACTTTGTGTAGGTCCAAAATTACTTTTACATAAAATGTTTAAAAAGTTTGTGGAAGGGCTGGGGATTTAGCTCAGTGGCACCACACCTGCCTTGCAAGTGCAAGGTCCTGAGTTTGAACCCTGGTACCAGGAAAAAAAAAAAGCCTATGGAAGAAAAAACTAATTTGTCCTTCATAAGCTTAATATCACACAGGTGGTCAGGTTGGCTATGTTAACAAAGAGTATTTGGGCTGTAGTATTTAGATGACAAGAAAATTTGTATTAATCTCCCAAATTATAGACATCAACCTATGGATCAGATGTCGATTGAAACTTTTATGTAGAAAGAATAAAGTACAAGAGGCATTTTGAGTTCTGAGGGGAAAAGCCAGATCGACACCCAGTCAGCCTCTCAAATATAACTTGTCAGGAGATAAATGCTTGTCGGGAGCTTTTATAGGAAAAGTTGGCCAATTGTATTTAACTGGTTCAAAATAAGCATGCTCAGTTATTAATTGTTTTTAATGATGCTGTTACTGTGGTTTTGTCATCATAAAATTCCCAGACTGTCACCTGGTATCTTGGTATAGCCCAGAGCATTTCTGTTAGTTGCACGCATGTCTCTTTACCTAGTTCAGGCAGCTGAAGATGCAGGAGACGGAAAAGATTCCAGCTTCCAGTACACTATGCTCCCTGGGGACTTCTCTTATATCCCTTCTTCAAGCTCCCTGTAGAGAAATGGCAAATAAATAAAGAAAGAAATATTTTTTTATCCTGGCTATTTTCCATTTTTCTTCTACTCCAAACCTTACCCCAAGAATAAGTTTCTTTCGGCAAACAAAATCATTCTGTGATTTGTCCATAGCAAGTAAATAACTTCAACAATTTCTAATCCACCCAAATTTTAAAATGAGTCCTTTTTTTTTTTTAAATAATCAAGGCAAAGTGCACATTCTCCTCCCTTCACACAACTTTTCACTTTTTACTTTGTACTTATAGTTTCTTCATGGATGTCGCTGGACTTTCTTTGGGTTTGTTTTAGGACTTTCACCTTGGGTGAGTCTCCTTCCTTGGGGCAGATTCTTACTGGGCCCCTTTTGTACATTTTCTTTAGTTCTCACAATACTCAAGCTAGTGTGAAGAAAGCATTACTATCCCCACTTCTACGTGAGGAAACTGTAGCTTAGTGATGAAAGATTTGTCTCACAGCTACACAGCTTATTTCCTGCTTGTTCTTATCAACCTTATTTTTGCTCAATTTATTTATCAAAGATTATAAATACAGATTGATCATTTTTATCTGACAACCTGAAATATGACATGCTTCAGTCACTGAGATGATGCCGTAAGTGGAAGATTCCACACCCTGAAACTTTGGTTTCTTGGGCAAAATTATTTAAAATATTATATAAAATTACCTTCAAGTTCCATGTATAAGGTCATATATGCAGTATAATTTAATGTTGCATTTGGGCCCCATCCCTAAATTATGTGCACACAAATATTCCAAAATTTAAAAAAATCTAAAACTCAAGGTTTGGTCACAAGCAGTTTTAATAAAATATACACACCTTGTAGTGTGATAGGAGCACTGTTATCGACACCAAAAAAGACCTTCACAGCTTCAGTCTGCTTACAGAAACTTCTCAATAATCTAGTGCTGATTCCTAGTTCCCTTATCCGTACAAATCAAACAACAAACACAAGCCACATACACTTATAACAGAAAGTACTACTTGGTTTTGTCATAATGAAATTCCCAGATTGCATGGGCAATTCAAAGAGTTCTTGAGTCTCAGAAGCCTTTCCTTGTACACTTCAGTGTCCTGCATCCCAATCCCACTCGTGTGAGGGGCTCTTTGGGGGAAAAAAACCCTATGGGCCTTGTTGTGAAGGAAAGGCTTTGATGGACAGGACCTGAGGTCACCTTTCACCCTGGGTCTGGGCATTTTCATCTAGAGGGAGGCCGGCCAGCTAGCTGGCTGTTCCTTGTCCCCTTTGATCTGGGTGTCATCCAGGGCACCAAACAATTGTAACCTCCTGTTTTTCAAAACAAGGGCATCTCCGTGTTTCACAAGTGGGTATTGTATTATATTACAAAATAATACACTCAACATATTTAATTTTTATAATGGCATTATGGTTACATGAGAAAACGTGTATTTTAAAGGGATGTGTATTTCAGTGTATATGAGTGAAATGATATCTTGGCTTTGAAATGCTCTAGTTACAATAAATAAGAAAAGAGATACATATTTAATAATGATAAAAACCCCAAGTCAGATAAAGCACATGAGCAAAATCTTGATAACTACTGAATCTAAATGACAGATAGCTAGGGATTTGTTATATTGTTCTACATTTTTATATATTCTTAAAACTTCTCATTATAAAATGAAAAGGGGTTCTTCTTTAAGAAAAAGTGTCACTTTAAAGGTTCTTATCATTTATCAAACAAATGTGAATTTAGGTAGGTGACCTAAACTCTTATGAGCCTCCATTTTATTCATTTGTTTTAAAAGTCATTTATATCCTCAGGAAGTGGCCAAAATGTAATGAAATCCAAAAAACAATGAGACAGAATATAATTCTTAACAGATTGGAACTATGTAGAACATTCAACTGCCTCTTAAATCATCAGTTCATTTTTAGTTTTAAAAGCAACTAAAAACAGGTACAAGAAGTATTTTGTTATTTATTGCATATAATAAACAATAATGAATCTCTAAGATTACATAAAATCTGTAACAATGTTACAGAAGGAATTGGCAAGTGACACACAGAGGCAGCAGAATGGAAGTAAAATAAAAGTTTACTCCATCAACAGGGGTCGATCACACCTAATGGCACTGCCCTGATTTACCCAGTACTGGGCTACAACTCCCCTTTTTATAGGGTTTTACAGCCTTTACACCTCATTCAGGTGGTTACATTTCATTTTCACAGTTCACATTGCAGATATTCAAAACATGGTGGCTAGGCAGTTGAATTTCAACCTGGATGTAGCACTTCTTTGGTAGGAAAGGTTACCTTTAAAATTCATTTAGTTATCTACTCTAGCCCAGAGGAAGCGGGTA